ATTTGAAAACACTGTTGTTTTTAATAAAGAAAAGCAAACCATTAGAGCTACAGAGAAAACAGGAGCACTGTGCAGTCTCCTTCCCTCTTTCCTTCTCTCCGCAGCATCGTCTCCATCTAACACTATATATATTTGCTTGACAATCTGTCTCTCTAGCTAAACGGGGCAGAGACTTCTGTCTGCTTTGTTCACTCACTGCTGGGTCTCCAGTGTCTGAATGACTGGTGCACAGTAGGTGTTCGGTGTACATCTGTGGAAGAAATGAATTGCCAGCTCCCAATAACCCATTTTGAACCACGCCAAACAACACTTTATCACCGGCCACTAATCCACTATTGACACCACAGCCTGGTAACTAACGGGCCAACAACAAATTCTAACTTCCACTTGCTAAGCAGGGAAAGAACTAGATAGAGTGAAAAATCCAGGAGCTCCCTGGATAGAAAAGGCATGCCGGGAAAGGAAAAAGCTTCCAAAAGAGTCCAGAATGTGGCTTCGCAGGAACTCTTGCTTCTTAAAAAGAATGCAAGGAAACTGCAAAGGCCAGTGAACTCTCAGTTCCAAGAGAGAAGCCATGTGATTTCCGAGTGCACATTTTTCAGAAATGGGTTCACAGCCAAGAGCTTTCTGAAGCCAGAGCTAGGAAGATTAAACCCAATGAAAGTAGCAATCGGTATGCCAACAACTGGATAACCTAGAAAAAATAGAAAAATTCCTAGAAACACACAATGTACCTAAACTGACTCATGAAGAAATAAACTTGAATAGACCTATAATAACGAGACTTAAGTTATCGAAAATCTCCCAGAAAAGAAAAGACCAGGGCTAAACGATGAATTCTACCATTTAACAAATAATTAACACCAATCCTTCTCAAACTTTTACAAAAAATTAAAGAGAAAGCAATACTTCCTAACTCATTTTATGAGGTCAACATTACCCCGATTCTGAAACCGAGACATTACCAGAAAACTACAGAACTACATCCCTCATGAACAATGATGAAAAAATCCACAATAATATACTAGCAAAATGAATTCAGCAGCATACTAGAAGGTTTACACATCATGACCAAGAAGAATTTATTCCGGGAATGCAAGGAAGGTTCAACATACAGCAATCAATCAATGTAATACAATACAAAGAAGCCAAAAACCACATGATCATCTCGATTAATGAAGAGATAGCATTTGACAAAATCAACTCCCTTTCACGATAAAAACATTCAACGAACTAAACAGAAGAAAACTTCCTCAATATGATAAAGGCCATATATGAAAAACCTACAGTGAACGTTACACTCAATGGGAAAAAACTGAAAGCTTTTCTCCTAAGATCAGGAATAAAACAAGGATGCCTGCTCTCACCATTTCTATTCGTATGTTACTGAAAGTTCCAGCCAGAGCAATTACACAAGAAATAAAAGGCATCGAAATTGGAATATAAAAAGTAAAATTATCTCTGTTCACAGATGACATGGTCTTATAGCAGAAAACCCAAGAGTCCACAAAAACTGTTAGAATAAACTAATTTGGCAAAGTTCCAAGATATGAAATCAACAGAAAAAAATCAGCTGCATTTCTACACGCTAACAATGAACAATCTGAAAAGAAAATTAAGAAAACAATCCCATTTACAACAGCACCAAAAAAATACTCAGGAATAAATTTAATCAAAGAGGCTAAAGACTTGTACAATGAAAATTATAGCACATTGCTAAAAGAAATTGAAGACTTAAGTAAATTGAAAGACGTCCCATGCTCATGAATGATAAGACTTAAATACTGTTAAAATGGCAATACTACCCAAAATGATCTACAAATTCAATGCAAGCCTAGTCAAAATCTTAATGATATTTTTTTGCACAAACAGAACATCCATCCTAAAATTCACACGGAATCTTGAGAGATTCTGAATAGCCAAAAGAATCTTGAAAGAGAACTAAGAGGACAAACACTACAAAGCTAGAGTAATCAAAACAGTGTGGTACTGGCGTAAGGGCAGACATACAGACCAATAGGGAGCCCAGAAATAAACCCTCACATATATGGTCAAATGATTTCAATTATGGTGCCAAAACCGTTCAATAAGGGAGAGTCTTTTCAATAAATGGTACTAGAAAAGCTGGATATTCACATGCAAAAGAATGTATTAGACTCATACATTATACCATGTACAAAAACTGTATCAGAATGGATCAAAGACCTAAAGGTAAGAACTAAAATTTTAAAACTCTTAGAAGAAAACAAAGGGGAAAAGCTTCATGATCTTGAATTTGACAATGGCTCATTAGGTATGACATCAAAAGTAGAATCAACAAAAGAAAAAAACAGATAAATTAAACTTTATCAAAATTAAAAACTTTGTGCATCAAAACACATTATCAGAAAAGTGAAAAGACAACCTTGGGGATAGAAGAAAGTATGTGCAAATCACATATCTCATTAGGGGTTAATATCCAGAATATATTAAGAATTCCTACAACTCAATAACAAAAACCCAGTTTAAAAAAATAGGATCTGAATAGATCTGTCTCCAAAGAAGATACACAATGGCCAGAGAAGACACTCAAGATCACCGAGAAGATGCTCAAGCTCAAGATCACTATCGGGAGGGAAATGCAAATCAAAACCACAATGTGATACCATTTCATGCCCATCAGATGGCTATAATCAACAAAACAAAAATGACAAGTGTTGACAACGATGTGGAGAAACTGGCTCTTGTGCACTGCTGCTAGGAATGTAAAATGATGCAGCTGTTTTGGAAAACAGTATGGCGGGTCCTTAACAAGTTAAACATAGACTTATTATATAATCACCAAATTCCACTTCTGGGTACATACCCAAAAGAATTAAAAACAAGTACTGAAACAGATAGTTCTACATTTATTACAACAGCCCCAAACTAGAAACAACACAATATGAATGGATAAACAAAATGTGGTACACAGTGGACCCTTGAACAACACAGGTTTGAACTGTGCAAGTCCACTTATATGTAGATGTTTTTCAATAAACAGTCAGCCCTTGGTATCCTGGGTTTTGCACCCCCAGATTCAACCAATTTTGGATCAAAAACAGTTATTTTGATCCACGGCTGACAATACATTACACAGAAGGCCAACTTAAGATCTCTGACTGAGGGGAGGGAAGAGGGGCCCTAACCTGTTGTTCAAGGGTCAACTGTTCATACAATGGACCATATTATTCAGCCTTAAAAAGGAACGAAATTCTGACAAGTACTACAACATGAACTCTGAAGACATTATGCTGAGTGAAATAAGCCAGTCAGAGAAGAACAAACACCATATGATTCTACTTATATGATACCTAAAGTAATCAAATTCAGAGAGAAAGAAAATAGAATGGTGGTTGCCAAAGGCTGGGGTGAGAGGGGAACCAGGAGTTAGTGTTTAATGGGTATAGTTTCTACTTGGGATGATGAAAAAATTCTGGAAATAGAGAGTGGTATAGTTACCTACTGCTGTGAATGTACTTAATGCCATCGAATTGTACACTTTAAATGGCAAATTTTGTTATGTCTATTCTACCACAATAAAAAAAGTAAAAAAAAAAAAAAAAGTAGGCCATATTTTCAGCCCATTGAGAGAATCCCTCTTTAAAGACCAGTTCTCGATAGCCTGGGGCAGACTTCCCATGGCCATGAGCCCTACAGATGCGATCTTGTCCTTTGTAGTCTGACCTAAAATCCAGTCCCAATAATCTGAGTCTTAAACCTAAGCCAACAGTGCAGGCTGACCAGCCACTATTGAAAGGCTGAGGCTTGAGCTTCTCTAGGCCAGGCAGTTTGCGGGGATAACTGTCTGACACCGCTGACAAGTTGCCAACAAAAGCAGAAGCCAATCTGGCTAGCTTTCACTCTCTATCACTTCCCCTTTCACTTTTCCAGAAGACCCCAGCCGGCCATGCAGAGGCACAAAAGAAACATGCCAGACTGACCAGCTTGACTTTTTTTAAAGTTGGAAAGTAGAGTCCTGCTTGCTCCCATCCCTCGCAGGTCTGGATATTTAATATCTTTTGTTTTTTGTAGAGTTGAGGACAGAGTTTTCGCCCATGCCACAACAGAAGTACCAACCACCTCCACCCCCTGTAGTCCCTAGGGCCCCTTCATACAGATTATCCTATTAGATCTCAAAATAACCCAATGAGAATGAATGTGTAGTTGTTATCCTCCACTGGAGACATGAAAAAAACCGGACTCACAAAGATGAAGCACTTTGTCTCAAATTCCACAGCCCCAAGTGACAAGGCCAAGGTTTGTGCACAGGCAGTGAACTTCAGAATTCTTCCTCTCGATTACTTCAGAAAGATGAACAAAGTAAAAATGGAATCAGACCATTCTGGTGTCAAACAATAGCAAAGAAAAATGCTTTCAAGTACCACAACTAATAGGCCTAGGAGGTCCATCCCCAGAAAAGTAGGCTGGGAAAAAACTAAGCGCCTTC